CAGAGAATTCTTTCCTGGGTGTCTGGCTGGTGAGTCTTGCCCACATGCTCAGGGTTTAGCTGATCGCCATATTTGGGGTTGGGAAAGAATTTTCCTCCAGGGCAGATTGGCAGAGGCCCTGGGGGGTTTTCTCCTTCCTCTGCAGCGTGGGGCATGGGTCACTTGCTGGAGGATTCTCTGCACCCTGAAGTCTTTAAACCACAAGTTGAGGACTTCAATAGCTCAGACATAGGTCAGGGGTTTGTTACAGGAGTGGGTGGGTGAGATTCTATGGCCTTCGTTGTGCAGGAAGTCAGACTAGAAGATCATAATGGTCCCTTCTGACCTTAAAGTCTATGAGTCTATAATGGCCCTGCACACTTCCTTCAACACGAGTCCAATGATCGACTTTCCCACTCCAAACTGGTTAGCGACCGATTGGCAGCAGTCTGGAGTAGCCAACTTCCACAGTGCAATCACCACGCGCTTCTCCGACGACAGAGCAGCTCTCATTCTCGTGTCCTTGCGCTCATCACACAGTCCCATGCATGGGGCTTTCCTCATCCGAAAGTTCTGCAGCCACTGCTCGTCATCCCAGATGTGCATGACGATGTGATCCCACCACTAAGTGCTTGTTTCCTGAGCCCAGAAGCGGTATTCAACTGTGGTCAGCACCTCCGTGAATGCCACAAGCAATCTCATGTCATATCTAATATGTGTGGCGAGATCAATGTTGCACTCCTCTTGCCTTTGTAGTTTAAGGAATAACTCCTCTGCCACTCACGATGTGGTAATGAGAGTGAGCAGCATATTGGTCAACAGTGCGGGATCCATTCCTGCAGCCCGAAGAGGCAGAGCAGAGCGTGCAGTACACAAACCGTTGAAAGATGGCACCAAATGCGGACAGAAGCACAGGGATTGCTGGGATGTGAAGCAATGCATCATGGGGCATTAGGACAGGACCCAGGATGTCCCGCAACCCCCTCTGCCTTCCCACAACTCTTAGTGGCAGAGGAAGAGATGCTCTGTGGGATAGCTGCCCAGAGCGCACCGCTCCAAATACAGCTACAAGTGTGAACACACTATTGTGCAGGCAGCTGACAGTGTGAACACACAACAGTGGTTTCCCTTCACCGCTCTCTGAGCGGCGCTGTCTCTGTCGCAGAGCCAGGAATTGAAAACTAGTCACCCAAATTCCAATCCAGTGTCTTAACCACAAGACCATCCTTCTTCCCTACTCTGCCGACTTTCTATCCTGTTCTACTTGTCAAACATTTCCCCCTGTATTTTTATGGAACGCATCCCAGCACGGCTGTATTGTATTTATGCCCTTGTACGTGCCTCACCTTAAAGGATATGTCAGCAGAACCCTAGTAGCAGGGTACATTAATGCTCTGCAGTAACAGAAGACACAATATTATATCTAGTTTTAGTTTTGTTTCTTCTGTGATTTTGTGGTAGCATTTGAAGGGGAAAAAAACTTTAAATATCAATTTATGGTCATGAAATAGACTGGCAAAACAGTCTTACCTCTGGTGAAATTCTCAAGTGCAAAGGAAAGTTACTTTGCTAGTCATATGTTTTATATAATTAACAAGAAGTTAATCAAAGAGCGTTTTTGTTACTTAAAATGAACATAAATGAACAGATGTAGTTTAGCAGGACTGGCACGCCTACTGTACATATTAAAAAGATAGCAGAATGACTAATTAGCATTCATTCCTTGAATCTGTTACTCATTTAAAAATTTGTGCTCTCATTATTGACAGATGTTTGGTCACACTAAATGTTTCAACATATTTATTCTTGCATTAGGAATTCAATTATGTGGTTTCACTTTAGTTTCCCTCTACAATCCCCATCTGAGCATTCACAATACAAAGCAAGCTTTCCACACTTTACTAAATCTCAGTGAGAAACTGCATTGCCTGAGATCAAGTATAATTCCCACCTACAAACATATTTACTGACTGAAATAACAGATAGAGCCAGAACTGCTGTCATGAATGACATGCGAATTCTTAGCCAGAACACAAATTAGTTAGAGTTGTTCAATCAGCTTCCATCAAGAAATGAAATCTAACACATTTGAAAGTGTCTCATTTGCAAGCACCCTCTCTGCACTGATATTCTGGATTATCCCTTAAATCATACCTAGATGACTGATTGATAGATAGATAGGTCAGAAGGCATATGGCCCCCCCACCTGTATTAACACTACCCTCTGTGCCTGGAATAGTCTCCATCTTTCTGAATGCCAAGCAACTATGAGTTCGTTCTTCCTTCACATCTCTCAGCTTTCTATTAGCTTCACATCACAGACCTCCATGTGGTTTCACCAATTCCCTTCTTTGACACCTACCCATAATTTAAAATGTAACAAACAAGCAACATATACATTCTGCTTTCCTTGCTAAATCAGTGCTCTCTCAACAGTCCCTTCCCACCGTTTATTGTTGTCTCCTTTCCCTTTCCACCATCAAGTACATGTGTAACTTTACTCCCATGAGTAATCCCATTTAATTCCATGGAACTACTCAAGTAGGTAAAGTTATATGTAAGCTTTCTACAGTATTGAGGCTTTCAGATTGCAAACTTCTTGGGGCAGAGAATTGCTTATATGCCAGTCACAATACAACACAATCTCTTATATGCCAATGGTGCAATACAAGAATAAAAATACGTCAAGCTTACATTACCCACTAATATCCGTTGGAATCTTGCTGTAACCTGCTTAAGTTTTATGAACAATTGTTATATTCTAAACTAGCAAATCAGTTCTAGTATCCCAAAACTCTTTGCTGCTGGACAAAAGCCACACAAACAAAATCCACCTGAACTAAGTACTACACTTGGCACCAAAAAGCGTAACAATCTCCTGAGTACGGTTAGTTTTTGTATTAGAAGATAGAAACAAATATAGAAACTCAGTCTGGAAGCAGAACAATTCATTCAGCACAAGAAACTATGGGATCATAGCAAAAGACTCAGTAAATACAAGAACAGTAGCTGTTGGTGTTCCTATCATCCATAAATCAACACAGCACCATTGTACTATATGATGCATTATGATACTCTGTAAGATAATGGGGGACCATGTTAAAGCACATGTAACATAAAAATAGTTGTCCATTACAGCCAAAGATAAAAGTTTTTTTTTAAATACAGGGATTCTCTTTTCCCACAGGAATAAAATTTGCTGTATTCACAAAACATGTAACTAGATGTAATATCACCTGGGATTTTTTCCTCCTTATAAATTGCTAATGAAAGGCCAAACTCTTCCATATCTTACTCCACAAGTTAGTCACTTTGAAATCAACAGGGCTACTCACAAAGTAAGGTACTCAGTGTGAATAAAGGTGGCAGAATCTGACCCGCAGTATTTAGATGTTTCCTTTCATTTTTATCAACAGTATTCTTCTCAAAGTCCAGATGTGCTTATACAGTATAATCGATTACTTTAGCTGCAAGGTAAGTAATCAATAATCCCATCTTTCATGGCCTGCTATTGAAACTTGTACTCAACAACTACTGCACTTTAGGGGGTTTATTGTGCACCCTGCCACCAGGTACCATGTAACCTTAAGCAGTTCATTTAACCTCTCTGTGCCCGGGTTTAATTCTGCACCCTGCCACCCGTTAGCAGGTAACACTGACTGCACACATGTAACCTCGGGCAGTCATGGAACCTCTCCTGTCTCCCTTTGGGATAATGATACTGGCCCGCATCAGAGTCACAGCTGGGCCCGATCCTCCCTAGTACTAGTACCTCCCGCTCACTTCACTGGGAACTGAACCCCGGGCATAGTCATTACCCAAGCTGGGGAGGCTTAATGTGAAGGATGGCCAAGCCCGTCCCCTTAGGCTCTATCGGGGTCAGGTATTGATCGGAACGCCAAGGCCACTCTGGCCCCAGCCCCCTGGCACAGGGGGAACTGGGGCTCGTCCTGGGACCCTCGCATGCCCCCCATTGCCCTATGCCCGGCAGCCTCCAAGCCAGGGCTGTGCCATACGCCCCCAAGAGACTTGCAAAGCCCCCAGGCACCGGCCTGCTCGCTGCAGCGCTCCCTCCGCCCCACGCAGGGGCTCGGGACTCAGCCCCATCCCTGGGGGGCCCAGGTGGGGCCGGAGCCCAGCGCCGGCGGCGAGGAGGCAGAACCCCCAGCCCGTGCCCGCCCCCCGCAGCACTCACCTCCTGGAAGAGCTGCTCCATGTGGGGCTGCAGCAGGGCGAGCAGCGGTCCGGGGCTCAGGGGGGCTCCCGCTGCCCAGCCGGGGCTGCCCCGCTCCTCCAGCGCCGCCACCCTGCCCTGCAGCTCGCAGGTCTTGGCGCTCAGCAGCAGGCAGGCGCCCAGCGAGGTGAGCGAGAGCAGCAGGCAGACGGCTGCGGAGCCGCCGCCCCCCGCGCACCGGGCGCCGGCTGGAGGCAGCCCGGCAGCGGCAGCGGCCGCTTGCAGCCTCCTCTCGCCCGGGTTCATGGTCCCGCGGCTCGGCGCGCGGCAGACGGAGCGGTTCTGCGGCGGCCCCGATCCGCCCTCAGGCTGCAGCGAGCGGGCGCCCGTGCGGCTCCTGCCCGGGGCGCGCAGCAGCGGAGGCGGCGGCGCTTGGGAGCCGGCTGCGGGGGAAGTGGGGCGGGAAGCGGCGGAGGAGCTGGTTTTCTCCTTCGGTGTGTCTTAAACTGGGGGGAGGGGTGCCCATCCCCCGCTATTCTGGGGAGGGGGGAGAGCCTCTGTAATCCCCAGTGCGGGGGGGGGGAGATGAACTCAGTAATAATCCCACCCACTCCCTCTCCCAGCGCACGCGGGGGCTATGCAAATAGCCCCGGCCAGAAAAGGAGATGGGCGCCTCCTGCGCTGCCCAGGGGTGGAGCAGGCTGGCGGGACAGACACTCAGTCGCGGGGCTGCGCCCCCCGTCATCCCCCCCCCCCGGCGTCGGT